GACCAGTGACGTCTCTGGAAATCAGCCTTACAGCTCACGTTGCATTCAGCTCTCGTCCACTTCCTCATAACACTGCAAACAGTCCTGCAGTAAGCTGAGTCACTGACGGAGTCCTGTATACCAGTTCTTCCTGTTATATTTTCCCATCCTGAAGGACTTAACCTCATCTTCACCTGCAAACATAAACATGGGCACACTGTGACTCTCAGCGACACATTCAGTCCACATTAACCATATCACTATAGGTTCCACCTTAGCCCTTACACTAAACTTACTAACATTTAAGTCCCAGGTGATGACCAGTAGGTACCCTGCCTTTGGGTCACCTCATCTTTTAATACCTCTTAGGTCATTTAATTCAAGTACAAGAACACACTCACCCACGCCTATTTGCGCCGCTTGTTGCCTTTGATTTTCTGGATCTCCTTGGAGCTGAGGACCAGCATGCCGTTCTTGAAGCGGCCCACCTGGCCTGTGGGGGCCGTGCCAGAGCCAGAGGACACCTTCTTCTTCTTGTCCCTGGTGGTGGTGGTGGTGGCAGCACAGATTTTAAACACCGAGAATATATCTTAATTTGGGACTTTCTAAAGCTTAATCTTGAAGAATGTAAAATACTAGTGCTGTGTTTTCTATCCAAATATTATGATAAATTGTTGTTAAAGAAGGATGCATTATGTGCTTAGATACAGATAATTATGTACAATACAGATTCAAGGACAGTTATAAAGAGAAATATTTGCTGACGTGTCGGTTTCAGCCAGTATCTTCCAAATGTAAATGTTAGTTTCAATACTCTTTGCGCTAACCTGCTGCCCTGTGATGTCTACTTATCAAATCATTGAGGAAAATGTCTACAGATACATTCAGAATTGCCCGTCTCTCCCACCTTTGATTACTCGGCTTCTTCTTTTTCTTCAGGTCCTATAGAGCAATGACACAGCATATAATAGAAGAATAGGTATAATTTAATGGAAATTCATCACTCGTTAGAAATTACAGCCCCATTAACATTTTTATTAAGAAAATACGAAATACATCTACTTAATTATATAAGTAAAGCTGGAACAGTTTGGTTTGATGGTGCAAGTCTTACCGGCTGAACCTCCTCCTTTGCTTTCTGCTTCTTCTCTTTGATCTTCTGCTGCAGCACCTTGTAGTTCACATAGTCCTTCTTAGGAGGCTGATTAAGAGACAATAATTATGTTGTGACTGGATCACTCTGCTATTAAAAAGCCTGTGCTACATAAGGACCTAGCATATGATGCTAATTAAATATAACCAGAATTTTCCTTACTCTGGCTCCCAGCATGATCGCTCTGTCTTGTTCAAAAACACGCTGCTGCTCTTTCTTATAGCCTGTGATTCCAAACCGATGGACCTCAAGACGAGCCTGATTTCAACAAAAACAAAAAAAGTATATGGCCAAGTATAACACAGTCACATTCAAAATTACAAAATAACAATTTTCAGATAGCAAGGCAGCAAGTAAATGAATCCCCGAGAAGAATCAATTCACACATTATAAGACTGAAAGTTTGAACTTATAACTAAAATTAGCTTTTGCATATCATCAATTTAAATGCAGCACTTACCATCTGAAAACAAAATATATAGTTAAGTGTGAGGAAAATGTCACCTTTTCCAAATTAAGTTCTTCTGGCTGGTCCCTTTCCTCCTTCTCCGTTATCTGGGCCTTATAGTGAGGCAAGCACACACCCAAAGGAAACAAAGACAAGAGAAGAGGGGAAGTGAAATAAATGATGATGGTGACAAGCAGTATATGGTGAATGGTATAGCGACTTTCTAGTCTTCCAACCCCTCAAAGCTTTTACACTATTCACACACTGATGGCAGAGGCTAATGTGCCAAATGCTCATCAGAAACAGAAGATAACATTCACACACATTTGCGTTCAGTATCTTGCCCAAGAACACTTCAACATGCAGACTGGAGGAGCCGGGGGGATTGAACCGCCGATCTTCCTATTAGTGGGCAACCCGCTCCCCCTCTTGAGCCCCAGAGAAGGTTGATTCAAACAGCAGCATGGAGGAGATCAGGTTTCATTATGTCAATAAGAAAAAGGTTCTGCATTTGCACAAATAGATTACTTGTTGTAAAATAAACTTGATACAGTTCCTTGTTAAAAGTCTACTGCCAGTGTGCTCAAGTGCTGTAAAGTAATATTCTACCCTTTCTGCTGTATATAAATTCTGTAAATGTCTCACCAAATGTAGCACACAATGCAGTGCAAACAGATACAAGATTTTTAGGTCCAGATCATTTCAATTCAATGTGCATTACATTTTTTAGTAGGCGGATGGAAACAGATGATTTCACAACTAAAATTATGTTTTGGAAACTAGAATCAGTTTCTGAATAAAAACTGTGACCTCATCTTTCACACTGGTTCTGATCTGTTTTATTTTTTTTAATGAACATGCAAGTCATCTCAGACAGCCAAAACTGAGGGTTGCATTTTGGATAGTTATATATTATGAAATTTTCCAATATGCTGCTCTTAGATATTCAGCACTATCGGACAATGCACAGTTAATGCACTAGAGAAATCAATAAATACATATATAATAAAGCAATATTGATACCTGAATTAAGAGAATTTGACCTTCATGTCATCAGCCTAATCTGTACTTTATGACCCTCAACTGTATAAATTAAAGTATACAGAGTAAACTAAAGACTTACAGGCATTTTGTCTGGGGCTGGTGTCTGCTTGGTTTTCGGTTTCTTTGTGGGGTCGTGAAATGTCACAACCTCCACCTGGTTCACCTGCGGGATGGTTGGATCTGAGCAAGACATGACACATTCAACCAAAGAGAACAAGAGGAGTGAGGCAATAAGTGGTGGAAGTTGTGAGGGTAGAGGAGGAGAAATTTTAAAAGCATATTTTAGTGAGAGCTGTGCATATACAGAAGGCAGACAAATTAAAGAAAAAACCTGGATAAAAGAGTGGAGAAACATATCAAATGGAGATGCTTCCATGCACAAGATGAAGGTTTGGGAGTTTGAAAATTGAATGAAATTAATAAAACGCTACGCCCTCCACAGTCACCAGACCTCGACTCAGTTTCACACCTGTGGGAGATTTTGGATCTCTGATGATGTATGTCCTTTTGTTTTTCTTTCTATCTGCCGCACTCAGGTCTCTCTTGCAAAAGAGATATTGATCTTAATGAGAAGACCTGTTTAACTAAAAGGTATTATATAAATGAGGGAATATGGGAAAGGTGTTCATGGCTCCAGTACAGTTCCACAGACTTGGCAAAGAGCACTGAAGCTGTTCTGGAGGCTCGTGTTAGCATGACTCCTTACTAAGACACCTGTCCACATCTGTGTATGGAGCCTGGGATGCTCAGATAAGTCATTATTGATTAGTTTGAGTGCTAAATGTAGCATTTTAAATATTAATCTAACATGAAAAATTATCTGAGAACCCTTGACTTGATTCCTGGAAACAAAATAAGTCATTAGAGGTTGTTAAGGCTATAACGTGAGTGGTGTTGTTACACAGATTGTTGCTATTCTGCCCACCTCTGTGTTCAGTCTTTGGCTGTTTCTGCTGATGTTCAGTACCAACATGATCTGCCCCGCTGTCTTCAGTGTCACTGCAGATATCCTTGACTGTAGGGAACTCCTCATCCTCCTCTTCCTGATGCTTTTTTCGTTTTTTCTTTAGCTTCTTTTTTGATGCTGGCCCGTTACCTGCAACATCAGCCAATAGTGTGAGCACGAGTCAATTCTCAGTCCAGTCCCTACAACTTTAGGTAAAGATGATCATCTTGTCTGTGTCTTAACAACCTTTGTTTGGTGAAGGACACATGAGAAAACAGCTGAAAATGATCATCATTCCAGACAAAAGCTCTATCACCGTGTGTCATTACACATTCACTTAATACACAGAATCTCAGCAACACAACTCTGCCCTAAAACGTACCATCACAAAGCTCATGTTTAGTTTTTATTGATAGTGTCAGAGAGGTGTTTATGATTGAGGTTATATTTACTGCAGGTGTAACAGACAGGGTTGTCTATGTGCAAATGTGTATCTAATGTGATCATAGAGTGTATTATTTACATACATTTGTTATTGCTTACTATTATTATAATATATATTGCATTTATACTTTTCTGAATGAGTATATTAAAGGATATATATAGTACATTAAGTATTTGGGGTTAAAACTGCATGACTGTGCTGTATCATGATAGTTTGTACCGCAGCAGAGCAGAGGTTTATCTCTTTATTCTAATAATTTTACTAGGAAAGGAAACGTGTTTACATGATGGGGGACATAACGTTCCTTCTGTTTTGTTAATTTTTAATTTTTGTTAAGAGGACTCAAGCACAACTGACACATACATTAAAGTTACAGTTAAGTAACGTTAGGTACAAACTCGCATTCAGGATTTACTAACAATCACTTATACGTTTTAAATTGATAAAAACGACTCACTTTGACAGCATGTTTCTGTGCTGTCAGTGACTGGTGAGCATGGATGTAACGTTATAATGTTACACGCCCCAACAAACGTTAGCAATCGGGTAAAGCTAACAATAACGTAAGGTCAGTTATTTTGGCTGAGTTGAATTACCATCAGTAACCCAACTAAGACATTATTGTATCAGCATATATATGGTCAAAGAAATTAGAAAGAAGGGACAGCCTACCACCTGTTTGAACCTGTTTGACTAACTAACGTTAGTAAAGCTAAATTAGCTTCCTAGCTAACTGCACTTACCAAAGTCATACAGTTTATTCAAAACGTGTTCCAGAAACAGACTATCTTCATCTTCTTCTCCGTTTGTCTTGGAGTTCATCTTAAGCTAATGGCACAAGCCGGAAAAAAAAAATAAAACGAACTTCTCTAGACCCAATTCAACCACAACAGCGGTTCAATATGAATGACAACAAACTGTGAAAAACGTGGGTCACACGGTGCAAACCGTGCTGTGGACCTTTCCGGCTGCCGTAGTCACGGAAATGCCAGTTGGTGTACACGCCCATGCGAAGTTCTTCAGATGCTGTTCAATTACAAGTATTTTATCAACTGGAAGTATCAGATGGACAGATATTCGTGCCTCTGAAACTTCACCGGATGCAGCGTCTGTGTTTTTGTAAAGTTTGACAAAGTATGGCATCCAAAGCTGTTTATTCGGTATGTATTCTTTGCTTAACAGGGCTAACAGTTAAGCTAACTTCTGATATCTGCTGTAACATGTTAGCTCAGTTTACACTAATTGACAATTACCAATTTAATTTAAACAAGTGAATGTCAAATGAATATGTAACAACAAAGCATCCAAACATACTGTGCTGTCTTGAAGTTGGCACGAATCACGTACATTTAATTGGGCAGTTTAATGTTTTGCTTAGCGTTTTTCACAGATACAAAAGACTACATTTCGATATGCATGCAGGACATTTTGTCTCAATGTATTGCCATACCACTCTTGTGGTTTCGGTCATCGTGGTTAATGTGCTGCTCTGCGGCTGCTCTGTGTGCAGGATTTCCTACATTATCAGGTACAACATCAGAGTATTTTGATGCTACTATACTTTTTTGTCACAGAAAGGTTTAGCCGAATAGCTGTTGTTGCAGAGACTGGTGCTCTAAAGTGTACACCATAGATTTGTCTGTACCTGGTGAGATATTACTGATGTACTCACCTGTCCGCGCATTTTACTAAAAGTTTAGTGCATATCCTATCCAATTTTGGCTCCTTAGTGCGCTGAATTTGTCAAAAAAAAAAAAAAATATATATATAAAATATTCATGGTTACAACCATAAGCAACTTAGAAATAATGATGTTTTGGTTTTTGTAGCATAGAGACCCTATGCTGAAGAAAAGAGATGACTTTGAGGACATTTTGGAGGAGCGGAGGAACTCCAGTGACCTGAGATACGCCCTTAAATGTTACACTCCTGTTCTGTACAAAGGAGTGACGCCATGTAAAGCCAGTGTGCTGAAGAGCATGGTGCTTCAGTCTGATCAGCTTCACTATGTTATCAATCAGGTAAAGTAGAGGTTGACTGACAGTAGGTTGCCATGGTTGTGGTGTCAAGATTTAGGATAAGTACTATCTTGTAGGGCTGCAACTAACGAGTAATTTCATTATCAACTAATCTGCGGACTATTTTCACGATTAATCGACTAATTGTTTAGTCTATAAAATGTCAAGAAAAATAAAAAAATGCTCATCACAATTTTCCAGAGCCCAGAGTGACATCCTCAGATTACTTATTTTCTCCAACCAACCGTCCAAAACCCAAAGACTCTTCATTTATTATCATAAATGATAAAGAATAGCAGCAGTTCCTTACACTTACGAAAATTAAACCAGCAATATTTAACATTTTTGCTTTAAAAATGAATGAAACGATTAATCCATTAGGAAACTTGTTGTCAATTAATTTCGTTTAAATTTTATTGTTGCAGCTCTACAATTTTGTGCAGTTTGTAGTCTTTTAGAGACTCGGTGAGACTCTAATTCAGCCATGAGGATTTCTGCATTGACTCCCATACAGTATACAAGAATTTAGGGTAACATTTTTTTTTGAACTGTCAAGGTTTCCAAAGAGAAAGGCAGGGCTATTGATGACGTCCAGGATGAGGCTTCAGCCATCTTGGAGGAGATGGCTCAATGTCTGCAGCTCAGCACCGTTCGCTTCTTTGCCTTTATGCTCAGCAAGGTCTTTAAAACCTTGTTCAGGAACATCTGTGTAAATGAAGAGGGCATCCAGAGGGTGAGAGTACACACTTACTAGACGCTTAAGCGTGATTGAGAAGTTAAAATACATATACAAACACTCCTTATCTGTTCTTTGCTTTGTTGTTAGCTTCAACAGGCCATTCAGGAGCACCCGGTAGTCCTATTACCAAGCCACCGAAGTTACATGGACTTTCTGCTGATGTCATACATCCTGTACACCTACGATCTGGCTCTGCCTGTTATCGCTGCCGGCATGGGTAAGCAAAGAAAAGAACAAGAGTGTATACACTGAGTAACCAGATATATACATACACATATACAAACTCCTAATGTTCAGTTTTTGATGACTCTTTGTCAAGAGAGGTGTTGATTTTGCATACTAGTAGTGTGGGTTTTAAAATGCAGTATATTTAAAGGCACACTATATGGACAAAAGTACGGGGACACCAACACATTACTTTTATGAATTCCCTTTGTAAATCCATAGGCATTAATATGGAGTTGGTCCCCGTTTTGCAACTATAACGTAGGGCTAGGCAATAAAACAATAACAGTTATTATTGCGATATAATTTTCCTCTATAAATGTAACCAATGTTCAATAAATGTTTGTGGTAATTCATTTGAATCACGATTGAATCGGCACTTAATTTTTGTAAGATATGTATTTTGTTGAGGAAAAGGGCTGGAAAAAAAGATTTTACTTATTTTTTACTTGTGATCATTGTAATTATTTTAAATATTCTACCTCAGATTTGTTAAGTGATTGCATTGATGTTGGACAGAGGGCCTGAATGCAATCTCTGTTCTAGTTCATCCCAAAGGTGTTC